CTAAAATAACAGCATGGCATAGTAGGAGTTTTATTTTACTTATAACTTCATTAATTTTTTAAATGAGTAATACATTCAAGTGGTTCAAAATATTTTTTAAAGTATCAAATATACTGTTGAAATTGTTACACTGATATTCATAATATAAATAGGTCTATAATATTCTTTTCTTTTAATGTCTTTGTCTTGATTTGGGTAACAGGGTTACCCTTGCCTTGTAGGGTGAGTTGGGAAATATTTCCAATTTTTGGTTGTTTAGAAAATATTGTGTAAAATTAGGATCCTCTGTTTCTTGAAAGTTGGTAGAACTTGCTTGTTAAATAATCTAGCCCTTTCCTGGTGAGCAGATATTGCTGCAATTTCTTGAATAGTTATAGGAACATTTAATTTTTCTGAGTAAGTCTTGGTAAGATATATTTTTCTAATAATATGTCCATTTCATCTAAGATTTCAAAGTTGTTGGCAAAAGTTGTTGGCAGTATTCACTTTCCTTTCTACTTTTTACCTGTAGTCACTGTTTCTGTTTCATGCCTTATATTTTTCATTTGTATCTTCTCTCTTCCTATGATCAAACTTGCTAGAGGTTTGTCTATTTTATTTTATTTTTTATCAATGTTTTGTTTTATTGATCTTTTTTATCATATTTTTGTTTTCTATTTCACTGACAGCTGCTTTTATTTTTATTGTATTTTTTCTTCTATGTTCTTTGAGTTTATTCCCTCCTTCTGATGTAAGTATTTAAAGCACCACTTTGGCTACATCCCACAAGTTTTTGATGCATAGTGTTTTTTAATACCATTCAATTCCAGATATTTTATATTCATTATAATTTCTGCTTAAACCCCAAAGTTATTTGGCAGTGTGTTTTTGTAAAATTGTGAATGGTACAAGGATGCCCACTATCCCTATTCTAGTCAAAACTGTATATGAAGTCCTAGCCAGTATACATGTCATGAAGAAACTGAGTGATCCAACTCAATAATCCTGAGGTCCAATGGAAAAAAAAAAAAAAAAAAAGATAGGGAAATCTAACAAGCTTCCAGGTAAATGGATGAGTTATCTTTAAAGGAAAAAGAATAAGAGCTGTAGGTAGACTTCTCATTTGCAACACTGAAAGCTAGAAGTCAAAGCATTAGCATAAACAGTCTACTGAGAGAAAAGAACTCAAGTATTCTACACCTAGCTAAGTTAGCATTACATCCATCAAGTTGAGAATTATATTTTATTTTGAATTTCTAAGGAACATTTACGAAACCTGATCATGTACTCAACATAAAGAAAAGCTTAACAAATTCATAGAGGTATTATGTCACATTATTTAATCAGAATATCCCTAAGTTAAATAAATAATAAAAAAGTAACTCCCTTGCACAACAAATTAGAAACTAAGAAATATATTCCTAGATAACCCTTTAATCTAAGAAAAAATAAGAAATAGAGTATTTAGATAGCATTGAAAAAGAAAATAATATTAAAAGCTGAGATACAAAGTTTACTCAAACAAAAATTTATACTTTGAAATGCCTCTATTATTAAACAAAAAAGATGAGAACTAAAAGAACTTAGTAGTCCTTTCAGAAGTCTAAAAAATGAAAAGAAACCAGGAAGAAAAAATTAATAAACATAGAAGTCAAAAGTAATGTCATGGAAAATAAAAGTAGTAGAAAGCATTAAAAACAAAAAACCCAAAAGCTAGTTCTTTGAAAGCCTGATAAATAATAAGAGATAAATAAAAGTAGATACCATTAAAAATCAGAAATCAGGTATCACCACAGATAGAGGAGATATTTTAAAAATAAGAGTATTACATGCCATATTATGGATACAAATCTGAAATCTTAGAGAAAAATGAATGATTTCCTGTCAAAATATAAATAATAAAAACAGCTCAGAAGAACTGAAGATTTAAACAGTCAAATTACTACAGGAAACTCTGGAAACATTAAATAATTACCATTTAAAGAGGCACCAGAATCAGATGAGTTCATAATTGAATTTTACTTAATGATACTGGGTTCACATTCAAGTTTTATCTAACCTTTAAAAAACAGACAATCAAATGTTATTAAACCTATTTATTAACATCACTTAATTTTAACACAAAACTCTAATTAGTGCCCCTTAATAAAGAAAAATTATAGACCAATCTCATTTATAAATGTAGGTACTGAACTTATAAATAAAATATAACCATGTAAAAAATGATATGTAAAAAAGTAGTATCAGGAAATTTAGTAATACAAATCCATTTTACCAGCTGGTTAAAGGAGAAAAAACATGCTTAATATCAATAGATGCTGAAAAGGCATATAACAAAATCCAAAAGCATTTCTAATAAAATATTTAAGTAAAGTTGGAATAGAAGGAAAATATTTGATTAAAAATAAACAATATTTACCAAAACCCAAACATCAAATATAATTCCAAGTGGAAAAACACCGAATGATTTCAATTAAAATCAGGAAGTAGACAAGGATGATCACTGTCACCATTATTATTTAACACAGTTTCAGAGGTTCAAATAGATTTAATAAGATATGAACAAGACAAGAAATAAGATAAAATATATAAACATTGGAAAAGAATAGATGAACTCTTTTTGGGGGGCATTGGGGCTGGTCATATAAATGCACAGCTAGAAAATCCAAGAGACACTAAATAAAAACTACTAGAAGTAATATGAGAATTTTGTAAATTTAATGGATATGAGACAAATATATAAAAATCAATAGCCTTTTTTCATCTATCAATATCAGGACATTGAGACAGAGCAAATAGTTCATTCACAGTAGATGCAAATATGATAGTCATAAGTTTTAAAAGAATGGCAAAGAAACATTCAAATAAAACTATAAAATTATATTAAAGAACATAAAACAACATAAGGACATACCATATCTTGAATGAATAAACTTTTATAATATTAAAAAGACTTAGTATCACTAAAAATGTCAATTCTCTAAAAATTAGTATAAATATAATGTAATCCCAATTAGAATCCCTGTTAATATCAGAATTTAATGATATTATCTTAAAGTTTATGTGGAAGAATACCTGCTGTGAATATGTAATAAAAGTATACAGACTGGAAGAGAAAAACTTTACTAGATATCTATCAGAGTCTTTGGATTAGAGGTAAATAAATGATCTTAAAATTCAAGTCAAAGAATAACTGCCTTCAAATATACATTTAAAAAGTAAGAACAAAGGAGAGAGAATAAACTTTACCAGCTATGAGAATATACTATTAAGTCAAATGAATATGATACTAATGGTACATCTAATAAATCAGTGGAACAGAAAAGAGAATACAATAATAGATACTAGCATTTGTGAAATCTTGACATATGACAGGTAGTAGGTTTATTTAGTGGGAGAAGGATGGATTATTTAATACATAATACTGATACAACTGGCTATGTATTTGGAAAGAATAAAACTGGAGCCCCAAATCTCACATCATATAAAAAATAAATTCCATACGTGCTACTGACTTAAATGAAAGAAAACCCAAGAGACCATATGTATAATCTAGGAATGGAATGGACTGTTTTAACCAAGACTAACCAGAAACAATAAAAGACATTAATTTGATGATACCCAAAAGAAAAACTTTGATATGGTGCAATTTACTGTGAAAAGTCAATAGACAAATTATACATTAGAAAAAAACTGAATATAGAAGATAATTACTTTACTATACAAACTGCTCTTAAAAATTGTTAAGGAAAATTCTAGTAATACAGTAGAACATTGGCAAGATCTATGAATAGGTAATTCACAAGAGAAAAAGTAAAATATCTGATTTTAAAGTTTGTATCTAGTTCCATATTGCTTCCAAGTTCATGTGACAACTTCTCTTCTCTTTCAGAATCAGTTCCTCTCTAGATTTCTCTAGTCTGTGGTGTGCTCTCATCATTAAAGACTTCCAAGCAAAGAAGTTCAGAGCCCTCTGCGACTTCTTTCTCGCCCTTGTCTACTCAGCCAGGTGTTTACCTCTCTATTCCTGGGTAGTCCTCTCAACCCTGATTCTATTTAAGCCTTCCCAGTGTGGCCATGGAGAGGGCCAAGGAGACATAGTGGGACGAGCATGAGTCTTGTAGTCCAACTAGGTTTGCTTTCACTCCCTGCCATTTACCAGCTATGTGGGAACAAGTATGTTACCTCTCTGGACCTTCATTCTCTCCTCTGTAAGATGGGATAATTATACCTGCTATTCATGATCATTGTGAGAAGTGACAGAAGTAACTTATGTACAGTACTAACATGGTTTCTAGCACACATTAGGACCTAAAAAATGTTAGTTCTCTACCCTACTTCAGTTTCTTATGGTTAGTCTAGGGACTGGGTTACCAGCAATGAAATTTTCTAAATGGCTACCTGACTCCAATTTCTTGATATTTGGAACACCTCCATATGTTGATAATAGCTTAATTTTGCTAAAACACTGCTTGTGTTATATCATTCTCCTGATTACCAATTTTCAAAGATTCCTTACTGCCTTCAGGAAAAAGTACAAACCCCATAGCCTTACTGCTAACATACTCATTGTTCTAAGGTAAAAATTTAAAAATCTTGCCCAAGGTTTCCAAAACATAATTTTTAACCTTTTCATTTGGGAAAATGAAGAAATGCCTAAAAATTTGGAATCACCTTACATAACAGCATATGCTATATTTTCCTTCAGTACTCTAAACCACCATCCACTGGGAATAATGATATACAAAAGAAAATTCTACTTTGTTTTCCTGAAATCTCACTTTGTACTTGAAATGTCTTTAATATATTCACTTAATACTTGCCACTCTAAATGGCAGAATAGGAATGGATGATATTAAACATTTATCACAGAAACAGTTATTGGCATTGTTATTAATAATTAGGCATATTTACAACACAAACTAGTTAAAACAAGATTTTTGTTGTGACCACGAGAGAAATAAAAATTTAGACATTACTTTATTATGTCTAGTTGCTAAAGCAAAAAATAATTCTTTTACCTAGTACTTCCTTTTGCAAGTCATGGCATCTGGTTTGCAAGTTTTCTTCCTGTTGTTTGGATGTCTCAATTTGCTGAGATCTCAATATGGCTGCATCTGACAACAATTTCAGATTTTTCATTTCCTCTTCAAGGCACACGTTATTTCTCTGGGACACTGTCAAACTTTTATTTAGCATCTTTATTTCTGTAAAGAAAATTCAAAGTTTACAAATAGATAACACTGGATCATAAAACATTTCTTAAAAAATGATTATTTTCTTTTAGAAAATGAATAGTTGAAAGCCAACATGACTTCTCTGAGAGTATAGTGACACCTAACCAAAAAGTTAAGTTTTAATTTAGTAGTTATTCTGAAAAATAAATGAAAAAAGGATTGTATTGCTAAATGATGCATGAAACCTTTTAGTAGTTTTTTTAAGCCTTTAAATTGTATTAAATGGCAATCCTGCCTGCTTTTTAAATACTCACATGAATGAATAAAATAATATCCATGTAATGTTCTGGGTTTTATTGAAATTAAATTGTTTTCTTGGCAACATGATTCAGAAAAGTAAATTTAAATGTGTTAGCATGAGCTGGTTGGGAAGTATTTCTAGGCGATAACTAGGACATATTCTATACAAATTATGAAGAAAGGTGGTAGGGGTGGAGAGAAATAAAAGGATATAGTGTCTAAAACTAATAAATTTATGGGCAGAAAGTATTAGCTAATATATCTTAATGGTTCTAATAACACTCTGTCCCCTCAAAATAAGGGCAGAATTTCATCATAGCAATCAATTCTCATTATTCTATCTACTTAGATTAAGTTTAATAACAATATGTCTTCACAGCATTATGTAGATTTAAATGTGCTAATTTTATATAATTTTGTGAGAAATTCATGGAACATTTTATCCTTCAGAATGATAATTATCAAGGTCTCCTTTGCTTAGTGTTTTCAGCACTGCTGCCTTAAGCCACCATTAAAATATACAAACACACATGCAATAAAAATACTATAAAATTTGTACAACAACAATTAACTGAACTGATGAGGATGTGATCTACATGAAAATCTGGACAGTCTGCTTTTTCAGAGAGCTCACTTGGCATTTCTTCCTTGCTTAGCTCATCCTGGACTATGTGATGGGTTTAGTGTGTTATTGGGTGTCAAAGGAGGTTGGCTTGGTTTACTGGTCTTGGAGCCATCACAGCAGAAATAGTAGCCACATGGGCCAGCGAAGACCAGAAGTAGACATCCATGGGACAGACATGGCTGCAGAGGCAATATGGCCAGTAAATGGTTACAGGAGAAGTAAAACAGTACGCTGAACAGAGCACAGAGAAGAGAGCATGCCCCAAGGGATGGTGATGAGTAGGATCAGGAATGTGGTCTAAGGAGAGAAAAGCAAAATGCCTTTCTGTGGGAAGAAAGTACATCTGGAAGAGAAAGTGGCATTTAAGGTAGACCTAGGGCATGAACACAAGGGGTCTTGCCACCATCTTCACCTTTAATTCCTACTCAAAATGGAAAACCTAGAGAAATAAATTGGCATGGATCAAATAAGTGGGGGTCTACTATATTCCAATGGTTCCTTTATATGGGAATATTTTCCCCTAGGAATAGCTATATGCTTCTAAAAATTTATGGATATGTTCCCATTTGTGTGAGGAAAGCTACTAACACAGTAGTACATAGAATTTTTTTTTTTAATGTAGTTAAAGAAAATAAGGAGGTTGCAATTTTTCTTCAGGCCCAAGAAGTCTTCCTGGGTAATTTTTCTAGCCATAATGGTAGCTTCTTATGGCTGAATAAACTGTAACCTACCGTAACCATATCTGTCTATGATTAAGTCCAAATGACACTGCAGAGGAGTGCACACATGCTGTGACCTATTTATCATTTGCCAGGATGGTACTACTTAGGTTCACAGGCTGACTCTCTTAGTGTACACTACTATCTGTCTCTAAAATAACTCCTTGTGTCAATGTCACTTTCTATCTGACATTAAAAGCATAAGAATTTGCAATACAAATTCATTTGTGAAATATATTCTAACACATGGAAAAGTACAGTAAGATTTTTAACAGGAAGTTTCTAACATGGAAATAGGAGAGTAAAATCAATGGGGGTCAATTAACTCACCCTTGGCAAATTATATATCCCCTGTACCTATGGCAATCCTGGTGTCAAATACCTAATCCTACTTTCATCATTAATACAACTTCATAATTGCCACTTATGTGTCCCAATTTGGGTTCATAAATTATGATCAACCTATTCTGGTCATTGTACCCACCATACACTCTCCCTGTCTTTGCACCGCCCCATGAAGAAGGTTCTCCTAGCCTCATACGTTGGACCTACCACAGCTCTTAGGCTATCTCTGCCTGGAAATCTTTCCTGACCAGATCTGTAACTTGCGCCAGTTACACTATTTCTATGGCACTGATCACATGCATAAATGTGACCTACTATTTGATCGTAAGTTATTTTAGGCCAGAGGTAATATCTCATTCATTTTTTATTCCTCCCATAATTTCTGCCACAACATTCTAGAATTAACAGAAGCTCAATAAATAGCTACTAAATGAGTAAAGGCATTATTGCACAAAGCTTCTAATATACCACTAGCTGAAAATCCTAAATATGTGTTTATCTTAACTCTCCCTTCACTTCAGAGGCAAGCATTTTGAGCCGCAAATTATTTAACGTAAGACTTGATAAGGCAGTAAACACACACGTCTAAAAGAAGGAAACATTTTTAATAGGATAAGCAAATAGGCCTATTCTATCCCCAATTTCATCAATTTTATAAAAAAATGTGGACTACATTTCTAAGCCTAATTCAGAACTTGAATTTTAAAAGTTCAAGAGCTATTCGGTCAAGAGTTATTTTGAGAGTGGAAGCAAATTGATTCTATGCTTGCTAAAATATTCTGCCTTGGTAAAAATATTATTTTTTTCTGAAATTTCTTCTACTAAAATAGCTATGCTCTGATTTGAGAAAACCTAATCTATGAAAAGTTAGACTTAAAAATATTGATTACATAAATTGATAACCACTAATTAGAAGAATAGGAAATACTTCACTTGTATCTTCTACTTAATATTCAGCATACTTTGTCAGCAAGAAAATATTAAACAATGCATTTTTCTAGAAACTTCCTTCCTATTTTGGACTTTGATTTTAAATGTAAATTAATTTTAATGTGAAAATCTTTTTTATTTTTTTTACGGTACGTGGGCCTCTCACTGTTGTGGCCTCTCCCGTTGCGGAGCACAGGCTCCGGACACGCAGGCTCGGCAGCCATGGCTCACGGGCCCAACTGCTCCGCGGCATGTGGGATCTTCCCAGACCGGGTCACGAACCCGTGTCCCCTGCATTGGCAGGCGGACTCCCAACCACTGCGCCACCAGGGAAGCCCTGAAAATCTTTTAAAGTATCTGAATAATGTGTGCAGTGTATACAGGGTTTACTACATTTATTAGTTTGCTAGGGCTGCCATAACAGAGTATCACAGACTGGGTGGCTTAATCAATAGAAATTCATTTCTCACAGTTCTGTTGGCTAGAAGTCTGAGATCAAGGTGTCAGGGTTGGTTTCTTCTGAGAGTCATAAAGGACAGATCTGTTCCAGGCCTCTCTACTTGGCTTGTAGACGGCCGCCTTCTCCCTGTGTCTTCACATTGTCTTATCTGTGTGTGTGTCTGTTTCTAAATTTCCTCTTCTTGTAAGGATACCAGTCATTTTGGATTAGAGCCCACCCGTTTAAATTTAATTGTTTCTTTAAGAACCCTAACTCCAAATATAGTTATATTCCAAGGTACCAGGGAGTTAGGACTTCAACATATGAATTTGAGAGAGACACATTTCAGCCCATAATGCTATATTTTAGAATAATTATTGGCGTTTATGTTGTGATTATAAATATGCAAAAATAGGTGAGCATGTGGAGTATAGAAGATAAAACTGAAAACTGAAAACAACTGAGTTAGTATAGAGGAATTAGGAGTTTATTTTACTTCTTAGAAAAATGTTTCAAGTTTTATTTTACATCAACTTTTCAAACGAAGAACTATGCCGTGCAGAATCAACTCACACCATAAGGATATATCCATGTGATCACAAATAAAAGCTAGTATTGAAAAAAAGTATGTTATTTAAAATGTTTGTAATATTGTCAAAGTTTATAGCCGATAGATGTTTTTAGCTTTTAAAGTAAGTGTGACAGAATTTGCTAGCTGATGCAAGTATAATTATTAGTATTAATCTCATACAATCAATTTTTTTGCCTTGATAAAATTTTTCTGTTGTTCTTAGTCCTGTTAGCTTAGTCAATGAACTTAAAATTATGTTATATCATTAAGTTTTTAGGAAGCTTCTATAACCTTATTACCAAGGCAAGCTGATATAAAATAATATTAAAAAACTCTGAAACACTAGATTTATTATTTAATGAAGGAGTCATAAAACACTATATAGGTTACTTTTTAAAAAACTATTTTGAAATACTTAGAGATTTACAGGAAGTTGTAAAGAAATGTATAGGAAGGTCCTGTGCTGCTTTTTTTCCTCCTCTCCCCATGTTGACATTTTGTATAACTACAGTACTCTATCAAAATTAAGAAACTGCTCTTGGTATAATCCACAGAGCTAATTCAGATTTCACCAGTTATACTCACCTTTCTGTGTGTGTGTGTGTGTGTGTGTGTGTGTGTGTGTGTGTGTGTGTGTGCATAGCTCTATGCAATTTTATCACATATGTAGCTTTGTATAACTACCAACACGACCAAAACATAGGATTATTCTATCACCACAAAGCTACCTCCTGCTACCCCTTTATAGCCACACCTACTCCTATCCCCACCACCATCCCTAATCCCTGGAAACAACTAATCTGTTCTCCTTCTCTATAATTTTGTTATTTCAAGAATGCTACATAAATAGACTCATATAATATGTAACCTTTTTGAGGCTGGATTTTTTTCATGCAGCATAGTCCCTTGAGCATGTATTAATAATCTGTACCTTTTTTATTGCTGAGTAGTATCCCAGTTTGTTCTTCATTCACTGAAGGATATTTGGGTTGTTTCCAATTTTGGTTATTATGAATAAATCTGCTATGAACGTGTATGTACAGGTATCTGCATGAACTTAGGTTTTCATTTCTTTGGGACAAATGCCTAAAAGCGCAACAG